AAAATTTCTAGTTCAAAGAAAAAAAATTAAAATTTACAAAGTCATTTTTTTATATCAAAACTAGGGGTATCAAAATATGACACCACCCTTTAACACAACATAAAATTAGTGGGTTTGAGTCTTTCTTAAGCCACTTGTTTAGTAAACGAGTGAACCTGACACGATACCATTATAAACGAATCAAGTATTGGTGAAACTAATTAAAAAATATATATATGATATGACTCGTTTATATATCATTTACATAATTGGACAAGTCATTCGGAGAAATATTGCGTGGCTCTCTGTTGATGTATATTCTAACTTCTTTTAGTTCTTTATTGTAAATACGTATATAAATATTCAGTATAGTAACAATAATTTTATATATTTTTTTAGCTGTCATTGAGAGAGTAGATGGTTCAGGAAGGATGTTCAATTTTTTGCATTAATTTCTCGTATTCATAGATCGTTATGTTTCATAAAAGTGCATATTTTATATTTTGTTTAACTCATGATATTTTTTTTATGCCAAAATATTACTATGTTTTTAAAAATGTTGGTTATATTTACTTTTGACTTTATCTATATATTGAATTGGGTAGTTGTATGGATACCTATGAGTCTTTAGTTTAATGGTACTTCTTATATTGTGAAAATTTTGTCTTATTGAGATCAAGAGTTCAAATTCCCTTCTCCCCTCCCCCTGCCCCTCAAAAAAAAAAAAAATTTTGTACGGAGTGTGTATATGCACAGAGTATAAAACATTGGTTACTAATGGTCCATAATAATTAAAAAAAAAAAATTTTTTTTTGACAGTATCGTTGCCGTCATAAATATATCTTTTATTTTTTTACGACAATCTAATGTGATATTTGAGGCAGCAATTTTACTCCCATAATAAAAGCAAAAATGTCGGATTTTTTCTGAATTTTTTTTTTTTAGTAGTTAACAAGTTGATAAAAGCAAAAGTGACGGGTTGAGATTTTTTCTGAGATTTGTTTTTGGTCAATGTTGTGTTTTTGAGATAAGTTGGAAAGAATCATGTTTGTTCTTCTATTTTACGATGAAAATAATTAAGTTGAAGTAGGAGGACAAATGAATCATATTGTCTACACAAGTATTTTTATCTTAACTACCAAATAACGGTGAACAATAAAAATCTTTAGATACTCCATGAAGATAGTGGAAGCTATTTGATGAGTTAAGCCCAAATAGTCCAATTCATCTGTTAAAATCCAACTCCAGTTGAGGAGCCCAACCTCATTTTGAATCTACCAAGCCCAAGACAGTTCAAGACCGGTTAGACTTTTTGCTTAGCACGTCATCAAGAGGAGAGCATGAGAAGCTTATCTGCACCACCGAAGGAAACGGTCCAAGCTTTGACCACGTTTCATGAGGAGCTCCCCAACCTCCTCCTTCCGTTGAGGATAGGTCATGATCTCCACCAGAATGATCTCTTAGCTGTAAAGTAGCCTTGAGGATAAGTCATGATCTCCACCAGAATGATCTCTTAGCTGCGATAAAGTAGCCTTGATAAGTCATGATCTCCACCAGAATGATCTCTTAGCTGCGATAAAGTAGCCTCAATCTGTGAGGAGACGAGAGAAGAAGGTCACGCCCCACCAACACTTACAGAGGACAGACCGACGACCGGAGACCACTCCTTCTTTGATTCTCCATTCTCTCAAACCTTGTATCTCTATTCTCCATACCTCTGAATTAATAAAATACCCGGCAACTGAAGCCATTGAAGAGTGGACGTAGGTCGAATTGACCGAACCACTATAAATCGTGTCTTCTTTAATTTTTCATTGATTTCACTGCATTTATTACCTACACTTGACAGGTGGTGTGCAAAACCATTTTTGTGCATCATCAGTTTGGCGCCGTCTGTGGGAATTATTCAAAATTCTCACTCCTGAACATTACATCCATTAACTAATGGCGATCACTACTCGATCCATGAACCAACATGAAGACAATCCTCCACGAGAGGAGGAGGTTGCTCCCCCGCCTATCAACCCTGTTCCGGATACTCTAGCCCCGAATCCCCAGCAAATATTGGAGACCATGCAGCAACTGGTTGCTCAAAACCAATAGTTACTGCAACTCATACTTGCTGGACAAGGAGGAGCACCACACGGAGGTGCACAGCATGGAGGACACCAAGGTGGAGCACCACACGGAGGTGCACAACGTGGAGCACCACACGGAGATGCACAACATGGAGGGCCCCACGGAGGTGCACAACATGGAGCACCCCAAGGAGCTCCACGTCCTGGACATCAAGGAGCACCCCGCCCTGTTGCTCCACGCCCGAGCACCCCATTGGGCGCCCCACTTCGGGAAGCCCAACATGAGGGAGCTCCACCTCCCCCTCCCCTTGCTTCCCAGGGAGAGGACCCTTATCTCCAGGAGGATGAGGGTGAAAACCAAAGCATGGAGCATGGAAGCCACTTCCATGATCATTCCAGAGGAGCCCCCAATCATTGGGACGAAAAGATAAAGGAGGTACAGAATCAACTCGGTGATGTCTTCAACGCCATGAAGGCACAGGGACCCGAGACTGTTGACCACCTGGTAAGGCGTACTGATACGCCTTTCAAACCTGATGTAGCAAACTACCCCCTCCCTCAGAAGTTCAAAATGCCATCTCTGGAGACCTTTGATGGAACAAAGGATCCACTGGACCACCTCGACACTTACAAGACCTTGATGCAATTGCACAACGTACCAGACGAAATCATGTGCAGGGCATTCCCAACCACGTTAAAGGGGTCTGCCCGACAGTGGTTTGCTAAGCTCTCCCCCGCCTCTATTGCCTCTTTCGCCGAGCTTAGCAGATCATTCGTCTCACACTTCATTGGAGGGCGTCGCCACCAGAAGCCAGTTACGCACCTGCTTAGTATAAAGCAGGACCGCGAGGAGAGCCTGAGGAGTTACCTCACTCGTTTTAACGAGGAGGTACTCCAAGTTGATGAACCCGACGACAAGGTGACGATGACCGCCTTCTTGGGTGGCCTCCGTTCATCAAGTTTCCTTTTCTCAGTTCTGAAGCGCCCACCGAAGAGCATGCCAGAGCTGCTAGCCAAGGCCCAAAAGTACATAAACGCAGAAGACATCACAAGGGCCAGGCGGGGTGAGTCTTCCAGAGCAGGGGATAAAAGGAAGGAAAGGGAGAGGGACGATAAGAAGGGGACCAGCAACAAACATGGCAGGACAGAGAAAGTCCCTGTCAAGGACCGGCTAGGTCCTGCTCCTCAGAGGAACCGTCAACCCTTCACTCCCCTCAATGCTTCCGTGGAACACATCCTATTCCAGATCCAGGATGACCCCGCGATAAAGTGGCCTGGAAAAATGAAGTCTCCTTCAAATCGCAGAAATCCTAACAAGTATTGCCGCTTCCATCGTGACCACGGCATGACACCGACGATTGCTACGACCTCAAGAGGCAAATTGAGGGGCTCATCCAGCGTGGTCACTTACGCCAGTACGTTGCTGGAAGGGAACGAGCACCACAACCTCACAACCAGGAAGATCAGCAGCCAGTGGGGGAAATCCACACCATCTCAGGGGGACTAGCAGGTGGGGGAGAATCACTTTCCGCGATGAAGGCCCATGCCAGGAAGGCAAGACATGTCTACGAGATGCGCCCATCTAAGGTGCCGAAGCAGGAAGGCGACGTGGTCATATCTTTTTCAGACAAGGACCTGGAGGAAATCCAACACCCCCATGACGACCCCTTGGTGCTCACCATGACGGTGGCCAATTTTCATGTGCACAGGATCCTGGTGGATAGTGGCAGCTCTGCGGATATCCTGTTTGCAGAGGCCTATGACAAGCTCAACCTGGGCAGGGAGAGGCTACAGCCAATCAGGTCACCCCTCATTGGATTCTCAGGGGAAAAAGTGTATCCCCTTGGATCCATCACACTTCCCGTCACCGCCGGAGTAACACCCCGAAGCTCCACAGTCATGGTCAACTTCCTGGTAATAGAGTGCCCGTCAGCCTACAACATCATATTAGGGCGGCCAGCTCTTAACACATTGAGAGCTGTGCCCTCTACCTACCATCTCGTTCTCCGCTTTCCAACCTCAAATGGTGTCGGAGAGGTCAAAGGGGACCAAATAACAGCCAGAGAGTGCTATGTATCCTCTATGAAGGCTAGGAAGCCCCAAGAAGCATTGCAGGTTGAGGTCCTTGACCCAAGGGATGACTCCGCAACAGAAAGAGGAGAACCAGTCGAGGAACTCATCCCTGTGGTTTTAGAAAAGGAGCACCCAGACAGAAGAATTTACATTGGCTCTTCCCTTTCTGAAGAGCTGGCTCCCCTGTTGATTGATTTTTTGAAGCGTAATATGGACATCTTTGCTTGGTCGCATGAGGACCTTGAGGGCATCGACCCGGAAGTAGCTACCCACCGCCTCAATGTCGATCCACTGTACAAGCCTGTTCGCCAAAAGTTAAGGGGAACCTCCACTGAAAGGGCCCAAGCCATGGACAAGGAGGTTAGAAAGCTGATTGATAACGGGGCAGTCAGGGAAGTGGCGTATCCGGAGTGGCTCTCCAACGTAGTAATGGTTACTAAGGCTAATGGGAAGTGGCGCCTCTGTGTCGACTTCACAGAACTAAACAAGGCATGCCCAAAAGATAGTTATCCACTGCCGCGGATTGACCTCCTCATCGACGCCACCGCTGGACATGAGTTGCTCACTTTCCTGGATGCATACTCGGGGTACAACCAGATTAGCATGCATCCCCCAGACCAAGAGAAGACATCATTCATCACGCCAAAGGGGACATACTGCTACAGGGTCATGCCCTTTGGGCTAAAGAACGCTGGGGCAACCTACCAACGGCTGGTGAACAAGATGTTCCAGTCTCAGATCGGGCAAACAATGGAGGTGTACGTGGATGACATGCTGGTAAAGAGCCTTGCAGCAGTAGACCACATCGATCACCTCCAAAAAACTTTCAACGTCCTGAGGTCCTATCACATGAAGCTCAACCCTGAGAAGTGCGCCTTTGGTGTGGGGTCTGGTAAATTCCTGGGCTTTATGGTCAATCAGAGGGGAATTGAGGCGAACCCTGACAAGATCAAGGCCATTCTTGACATGAAGTCACCCTCCTCAACCAAGGAGCTCCAGCGCCTCAATGGAAGAATCGCAGCATTAAATAGGTTTGTCTCCAAATCTGCAGACAAATGTCTCCCTTTTTTCAAAACTCTCCGAAAAGCCTTTGAGTGGAAACCTGAGGCAGAGGAGGCTTTTCAAAGGCTCAAAGCCTACCTAGCAGCACCTCCCCTCCTGTCACATGCTACCCCTGGAGAAACTCTCCATCTATACCTTTCTGCTTCCCCATCAGCGGTAAGCTCAGTGCTCGTTAGAAACAACAATGGAGTGCAGAAACCAGTTTATTACGTGAGCAGGGCATACCGGGGGGCAGAGGTCAGATATTCAGCACTAGAAAAACTGGCACTCGCTCTGGTCACGACAGCGAGACGGCTGCGACACTACTTCCAGGGCCATCGTATGGTGGTCATCACCGACCAACCTCTTAAAAGAATCTTGGGAAAGCCGGACGTATCTGGCAGACTTCTTAAATGGGCAGTAGAACTCGGGGAATTCGACATTCAGTACCAACCTAGGACGGCCATCAAAGCACAAGCCCTAGCAGATTTCGTAGCTGAACTCACACCAACAGAAGATGGGAACGATGAGGATCCCCAAATGCCCAACGGAGACATCAAGAAGCCTAACAAAGACCCTCAAGCAGGCGCCCAAGTCTCCTCCCCAGGAGCCCAAACAACTTTTTCTGATGACCAGGCATCCCGGGCTGCACCTCTAGCTCCTGCACCACAGGCTGCACCTCTGGATGCCCAGGCACCACAGGCTGCACCTCCGGATGCCCAGGCACCACAGGCTGCACCTCTAGCTCCTGCACCACAGGCTGCACCTCTGGATGCCCAGGCACCACAGGCTGCACCTCTGGATGCCCAGGCACCACAGGCTTCACCTCCGGATGCCCAGGCATCACAGGCTGCACCTCCCCGGTCTTCCACTTCAAATTCCAAATTCTCCACTCATCTGCTTTGGAAACTCTATGTAGATGGCTCCTCGACTAGTGAAGGAGGAGGAGCGGGCTTAATCTTGATCAGCCCAGATGGCACCACTCTCAGATATGCGATGAAGCTCCACTTTTATGCTTCCAATAATGAGGCGGAATACGAAGCCCTCCTTTCTGGATTAAGATTAGCGATGGAAATGGAGGTTCAACACCTTGCCACCTACAGTGACTCTCAGCTGATAGTCAATCAAGTGAGGGGCGAGTTCGAAGCCAAAGGAGCCAAAATGCAAGAATATCTCAGCATGGCTAGAAACATGATCACAAAATTCCACTACTTCCAGATAAACCACATCCCCAGAGAGGATAATATGGCTGCCGATGCACTCGCAAAGCTCGCTTCATCCATGGAAGCCTCATCAGGGGAACCAGTACTAATTGGTCACCAGTGCGAGCCGAGCAGGATGGACATGGAGGCCACAAATATTGACTGTGTATCTACTGAGTCAGACTGGATGACCCAAATCAGGGCATACCTCCAAGAGGGTGTGCAACCAGATGATCCCCTAGAGGCCAGGAAGCTAAGGATAAGGGCCTCCAAGTTTGCCATCTTGCAGGACACTCTATACAAGAGAGGCTATTCCTTGCCGTGGTTACGATGTCTTTCACCTGAAGAAGCTCACTATGCCTTGCGAGAAATCCACGAAGGAATCTGTGGGAATCACTCTGGAGGGCGTTCCCTTGCCCACAAGGCGCTCAGACAAGGCTACTTCTGGCCTACCATGATAAGGGACGCCCAGGAGTTCTCCAAAAAATGCGACAAGTGCCAACGCTTTGCGACTGTGCCGAGGCAACCACCTGAGGAGCTAACAACCATTTCAAGCCCATGGCCTTTCTCCAAGTGGGGCATCGATATCCTAGGCCCCTTGCCTCTCAGCAAAGGGCAGTGCAAGTTCGTGGTGGTGGCAGTCGACTATTTCACCAAGTGGTCAGAGGCAGAACCTTTAGCAAAAATCACAGACGCAAAGGTCAAAGATTTTATCTGGAAAAACTTGGTCTGTCGCTTCGGGATTCCCCATGCCATTGTCAGCGACAACGCCAAGCAGTTTGACAACAAGCTGCTGAACTCTTTCTGTTCTGACCTTCAAATAAAACAACCTCACTCCAGCCCGGCACATCCACAAGCAAATGGACAAGCAGAGGTCATGGTAAGAACGGTGCTACGCAATTTAAAGACAAGGCTTGAAAAAGCAAAGGGCCTTTGGGTAGAGGAGCTGCCAGGCGTACTGTGGGCTTATCGAACCACGCCAAGAACCCCTACTGGGGAGACTCCTTTTTCCCTCGCCTTTGGAACCGAGGCGGTCATCCCTGTTGAGATAGGGGTACACTCCCTAAGGGTCCAGCACCACGATCCCATCACCAACGAGGAAGGACTCCGCAGCAACCTCGACTTGGTGGAGGAAGCGAGGGAGATGGCTGTAGTCCGCAACGCGGAGTATAAACGGCGCATGACAAGGTACTACAATTCGAGGGTGAAGCCCCGTTCCTTCCAACCTGGGGATTTGGTCCTCAAAAAAGTGATCCTCGCTACAAAGGATGCACGCGAAGGAAAGTTAGGACCAAATTGGGAAGGGCCCTACCGCGTAACAAAAGTAGTGAGACCAGGCACCTACAAAATCCAAGATTCTGAGGGAAAAGTTTTACTCCACCCATGGAATGCAGAGCACTTGAAAAGGTATTACCAATGACACCTTGAGAGCATCAAAGCAGTAGAAGTTGGGACTTGATTTGATTTTTAGGGGTGTTACCCAAGATTTCAATGTATTTTTTTTTGGGAATTATTACCCAATATCGCCTTTTATAAGCAATAAATTAATAAAATTTTCTATGCCATTTACTCCAAAAAGATTTTCTGTATTTCATTTCAAAGGAGTATCGGTACAAAAATAAGGCCAAATACCGCCTTTTCAAAAAAAAAAAAAATCAAAAGTCCTAAACACTCTAACTGCTCTCATGGTCGTCCCCCACCTTCTCCTCATTGTCATCAACAGCATCAGATCCCCCCTCATCACTGTCGTCAGTGGGCACGAAAGGTGAGAAGTCAATATTAGGGAAAGCGGTAGAAACCTTCCCTCGGAGATCCTCGAAACCATCAATAAAAGCATCTGCAAGACCATTCTCCAAGTCTTCCTCAGCGCGGGAAACTCTCTCCCTAGCAGCCGTCAACTTTGCCTCTGCAACAGCTGCCTCTCTGAGCATGGCCCTCCCATGGGCCTCTACAAGCTCAGCCTCCCTGAGCGTGCTCCTCTCGTGGACTGCCAAAAGCTCAGCCTCTAGCTTAGTGGCCCTCTCATGGGCTGCAGCAAGCTCACCATCCCTGAGCGTGCTCCTCTCGCGGACTGCCAAAAGCTCAGCCTCTAGCTTAATGGCCCTCTCATGGGCTGTAGCAAGCTCACCATCCCTGAGCGCGTCCCTCTCGCGGGCCGCCAAAAGCTCGGACTCAAAATTAGAAGCTTTTTCATGAGCTGCCACAAGTTCACCCTCCCGGAGCACGTCCCTCTCACGGGTCACCAAAAGCTCAGAATCAAGCTCGACAATCCTCTCCTGAGCGGTAATGAGCTCCCTCTGCACAAGGCTAAGATCCAGCTTCAGTTTGTCTTGATTATAGGCCCTCGAAAGCAAGCAGATGGAGGAAGTCGAAACCTTAAAAAAAAAAAAAGACAAGAGATTAAGAAAAGTCAAAAACACAGGAAACGACTGGAGAAAAGGAAATAACAGACCCTTACCTGAGCCAGACCTTCCAAATACGTGTTGACGATATTATCAGTGCCCGAAGCGCTAAGCTCAGAAACTTCTGGCCCAAACACAAACCTGCCAAGCCTTGCCCTGATAGCTGCCGGTCTCCCCATCATAGGACCAGCCCAAATCGGCACTCGGGTAGAAGTTCCTGAACAAGGAGGAGACAAAGGAGGGGTAGCACGAGGAGAGGATAAAGGTGGAACAGATGTGCCTGGCAAGGAAGATTCTGGAGTAGCAGCTGGAGAAGTTGCCAGTTGAGAAGGAGCCACCGTGGGAGTCACATGGGGGGCATCATCCCTCCTTGCCACTTTGGAAGAAGGAGGGCTCCTGCTAGAAAAGCGGGACACCACCACCCTTTTACTTGCTGCAAGAGTAGAGAAGGGTTAGATAAAAAAAAAAAAAAAGGAGAGGAAACTAGCTCACCCCTTTTTCTTCGAAGAGGAGCCGCCAGATTTCTGAGATGGAGCAACAGCTCTAGTATACTTGGGCAGGAGAACTCCCAAATCTTTACAAGGGCAAGCTTTGACAGCCTCCAATTTCCACTCCTGGTCCCGGGAAAGCACAGGTATATCTGCATGGAAAAAGTGAGCACACACACACAAAAAAAAAAAGGAAAAAGAAGAAGTGTGCAGCATACCGGGTTTTTTAGCAGCACCCCAAAGTGTTGGCACCAAAGCTCTGTCGGCTTCTGAAGCCCATTCTCCACCAATAAAGAAGAAACAAGATTTTCAGCCACCGCAATTAGAGCGCGTTCCTGTAAGCACTGTACCACTCCGTGCGGTAAAATAGTACCATCCCCTATTTGGTGTAGGGGTTTCGCTCAAATTATATGCTGCATGAAACTCCATAGGGGAAGCATCCTCGTGGTGCACCTTTCTCCATAATGCAAGAAAACCGAGCAGGACTCTCCAACCGTTGGGCGCTAGTCGCCCCGGAGTCAAGGAAAAGTAATGCAAAACACGACAAATGGGGGAGGACATGGGAAATCTTAACCCAGCCTCAAGCATCTCCTCGTAGACAACAATATCCCCGGAAGAGTCGTCGCAAGCAAGCTCGCCCAACTCAGCCCGACGGCACAACACGGTCGGAGGGATGCGATAAGTAAAAACAAGCCTTGAAATATCTTCATCTAAGCGGAACAAACTAGAAAGGGTGCTCACCTTAGACCCGTCATCATCAAGTCCCACTTTGCTCTTGCGTTTCTTATTCCGGGGCCTTAAGGAGTAGTCCAAATCACCATTGGGAGAGTCTTGAGGAACTTGAATCGGGGGAGCTACAATAGGGGCTTGATCACCAAGAGTAGCACCCAAAGCTTCCTTACTATTTGCAATGTCTAGCCCAACACCTGGAAGCGTGCCTGACTGCTGTTGCTCGTCAAAACAAGGATGCCCAGTAGCTTGAAGGGTGTCTGGCCCTTCAAAATTGCACAAAGCAGAATTTTCGGCGCAAAAATCAGCACCTAAGGGGCCCAAATCAGCGCCTCGAGTGAGAATCGGATCAGCCCGTGCTCCCAGGCCACTGCCTAGCTCTCCCTGATGAACCTTGGACTGATTTTCAGCGCCCCTTGATGGAAAAATACTGCTGCCCAGCGTTCCAAAGCCGCCCAGCGCAGCAGAACTGAAGCTGCCCAGCGCAGCTGAGCTGTCCGGGACAGCAGAGGCAGCAGCCAGGCTGCTGCCCAGCGCACCTGGGCTGTCCAGGACAGGAGGCAGGAGGAGCAGAGCCCAGGCAGCCGCCCAGCCCCCACCGCGCGTGCGCGAGCTGCCCAGCCGCGTGCCTGCGCTGCCAGTCACGCCCAGCCTTTTTCCTTCGCTGCCCAAGCCACTCCTCGCGCTGCCCATCTCCCCTTCGCTGTCCAGCCCTTCATTTACAGCCCCAAAGCTGTCCAAAACAGCATTCGAATGCTCAAAACCAGCCTCCAAGTTCTCCAAAATGGTGCCTACTTCCTCCCTTTCTTCAACCTCCACCACTCCCTCTTCAATCGACATTGTTTACTTGAGAAGCTCAACTAGCAAGGAAGAAATCACACTCTTGAAAGGATTCAAGGAGAACACACTTTGGCTTCAACAAAATGGGTAGGACTTGAGTTTTCAAGATTTTCAAGAGGTGGGTGCTCAACCTTAAAAATGAGTGAAATGGGTAACATGAAGAAGAAGACTATATTTATAGTCTAGGGTTTTTCAAAAAGAGGGAAAAAGCCCAAATAGAAAATTATGAGCCCTCTTCAAAATAAAGTGGTCAAATAGAAAGTTACAAGTCCTTTTCAAAATAAAAAGGTCAAATAGAATATTATGGGCCCTCTTCAAAATAAAGTGGGAAAGACTTGAAGTTAAAAAAAAAAAAAGAATAATAATAATAATATAGTCAATGCCTCCTTCTCCAAGTCTCATTGGACATGGGGCATTGGGGGGCAAATGATGGGTTAAGCCCAAATAGTCCAATTCATGTGTTAAAGTCCAACTCCAGTTGAGGAGCCCAACCTCATTTTGAATCTACCAAGCCCAAGACAGTCCAAGACCGGTTAGACTTTTTGCTTAGCACGTCATCAAGAGGAGAGCATGAGAAGCTTATCTGCACCACCGAAGGAAACGGTCCAAGCTTTGACCACGTTTCATGAGGAGCTCCCCAACCTCCTCCTTCCGTTGAGGATAGGTCATGATCTCTACCAGAATGATCTCTTAGCTGCGATAAAGTAGCCTTGAGGATAAGTCATGATCTCCACCAGAATGATTTCTTAGCTGCGATAAAGTAGCCTTGAGGATAAGTCATGATCTCCACAAAAATGATCTCTTAGCTGCTATAAAATAGCCCCAATCTGTGAGGAGACGAGAGAAGAAGGTCACGCCCCACCAACACTTACAGAGGACAGACCGACGACCGGAGACCACTCCTTCTTTGATTCTCCATTCTCTCAAAGCTTGTATCTCTATTCTCCATACCTCTAAATTAATAAAATATCCGACAACTGAAGCCATTGAAGAGTGGACGTAGGTCGAATTGACTGAACCACTATAAATCGTGTCTTCTTTAATTTTCTCATTGATTTCACTGCATTTATTACCTACACTTGACAGGTGGTGTGCAAAACCATTTTTGTGCATCATCACTATTAATCAATCTTTAATGCATATTTAGTATTAAAAATGTGACAAAAAAGGGGATCAATGTAACATTCTATTAATAATTAGGATAAATTTCATTGACGTCCTCTATATTTAGGTGATATTTCACTAGTATCCTCTTTGGTATCTGAAATATCACTGTATACCTTTGTCAAATTTTATTGGCTAACGATGTTAACGAAGAATGCAAATTTACGTAAATATCCTTATCAGAACTACCATTCTATAGTTGTCATTGAAATTTACCCTTATGTTTTTATTTATTTATTTATTTTTTTCGTATGCTATGCCCTAACCTAATTATGGTCACAAATTATTTTTTAACAAAGGAGTTTATATGTCCATTTCATAGACTATCATTATTAAAATAATTATATTAAATTAATATATAATTTCATTAAATCAACACTAAATTAATTTTTAATTATGAAATTACTAATCAATTTTATCAAACAAACATTTAATTTTATCCAATTGATATTCACTTTTATCACAATAATACCAAATCAATATTATATTTCATTGCATTAGCTCCAAATTAGTCTTCAATTTCGTCAAATTAAAACTAAATTTTGTCAAAATTAATATTTAAATTCATAAAATTAACATTCAATTTAATCAAACTAATGTCAAATTAATATTCAATTTCATCAATTTAACATTTACTTTTATCAAATTGATATTAATATTTATTAAATTAACACAAAATTAATATTTAATTTGATCAAATTAACATGAAATTGACCTTAAATTTCATCAAATGAACATCAAATGAACATTCACCTTATCAAATTCACACACTATTTTATAAAATTAATGCCAAATAAATATTAAATTTCATTAAATTAACATCATATTAACCTTTAGTTCTGTCATATTAATATTAAATTTCATCAATCTAACATTCATAATATCATTTATTTACTTTAATTCTTAATTAATGTAAATCTCATCAAATTGACACGACATTTAAAGTTCAATTTTATTAATTTAATATTTAATTTTATCAAATTAATATCATTTATTTAATTTAACAGTAAATTAATAT